AAAAAAAAAAAAAAAGACAGGGGATACTGTGAGTTTTTAATAAAATTGAATTTATGAAATTGTGTCCATTCTTCATATTGAGGCTAAACTGTCCATTCCTTTGAGAAATGATGGTGGATATTAATAATAGTTGTTTGTTTTGAACTTGGCCAAGTTGAAAATTGACAACCTGATGCCCACATGTCTTGAGCATTTTACGAGTCTTGAGAATCTGTTGTGGGAACAGCTGAAATCTGCAGCCCCTGTCAGGTGAGCGGGGTTCCTGGACTCCTGTCACCTGCCTCCCTCTGGCCTCTCCTCAGGTCCCGGGCTGCTTCCCCCAGGCAGACCAATGGGGAAAGCTCTGTGGAAGTGCTGGTGACTCGCTTCCAGGTAGGATGGTGCCTCCTGCTGGGAACTCCAGCACCCTGAATTGAGGGGAGCCCTGAGGGGCAGGGCCGGTAGGGGATGGGGATGGGTGCTCCCTTCCCGGCCCTTCTCTCCGCAGGGCTCCATGAGGACACATGCGGACAGCCAGTCCTCCCTGCGGTCTTCCTGCTCCAGCCCCGTGTCCTCCAGCCCCCAGCCAGGCAGCCCCTTCTCTACCCTGTCCCCCAGCAGCCCACATGCCCTCCCTGGAGAGGCTGTGGTCAGCCGCAGGTGAGCGCGGGGAGCGGGGGGGCATGATGGCAACAGGGTCCAGAAAAGGCCTCTCAGTCTCAGTAGCTGGGTTTAGGGGAGCCTGAGGGCACCCTCTGTGTCCCTGAGGCAGGCTGGGTGGGACACCTGGCACACACACCGTCCGTTTCCCACATTTCAGTTTCCAGAGCCTGGCACACTCCCCAGGACCCACTGCTGCTGACCGCTTCTCCTACGGGGGCCGCCCTGGAAGCCGCCAGGTGAGATGCCTGGGGGAAGGAGAGAGCCTCCCATCCGGCCAGGGTGCCAGTGGCCCCCATGGGGCTGCAGAGGGCGGGTCCCCCTGGGGCAGCCAGCACCTCCATCTCCAGCAACAAGCATACCCCTCCCCTGAGCCCGGAGGCCACTGTGTCTGCTGGTGGGCCATGCTTACTGTGCCCCAAGCCTGCCTGGCCAGTCCCAGGTGGCCTTCTACCTCCTGTCCTCCCACTCGCCACCTCCCCCCTCCTGCTAGCGTCCTCCCTTCCTGAGTGTTTCTCTTGGGCCAGGGCTGAAATAGTTTTGCTGCTGTTGTTGGGATGGTTCCCTTTGGCTCTGGCTGCATCTCTTGAACACATTCCTCCCCATTCCAAGCCCCATACCCGCCCCCAACTCCCATCACCCCATCCCCCTTCCTCCTCCTCTGACTCAGCCCAGAGAACCACCAGTGGGACTGCGGTTCTGCCTCAAGTTGCACTTGGCTTACTTTCTGTCTGCCCTCCTCCCTGCCCTTCTACCCTGGACAACCTTCCACACCGCCCACCACCCCCCCTACCCGACCAGGTCCC